GATTTATAGTAGTAAACATATTCTGAATGCAATTGAATATTTAGAGCCTTTGGAAGAGAGTCTATCTACTTTGGTAAGCAATTTAATAAAATATATTTAATAAAATAAGCTTGACTTATTCATTGATGACAGGTTAAAATTAAAATCCTTATGAAAAATTATTTAGCCTGTGGGAAAATTAAAACGAATAAATAAAATAAAAAAAGAAAAAGAGAAATACATATTCCCATGATGTTTGTAATAAAGGAACCAAAGACTTGTCTTCACAAAACACCTGTTAGGTTGCATTGTTTAAGTTCTAAAAGGACAAGAATTTCCTTCCTCTTGTTCCAAGATGGAGTAGCACATAGATGAGACATTATCTCTGGGGTATGTTCATTTTCTCTGGTCCACTGATGACTGAACTCTCTTTTGTTTGGTCATTCCAACTCAGCACAAGTCTAACTTGAGCTCGACCATTATAACCATGTTTATTATGACTTTCTCAAACTTCTGCACAAGAAAAAGAAACTCTTCCACTTTCCAATGCATAGTGTTCACATGTGTTTTGCTGAAACTCCACTGATGAAGCAATACATATTTTACTTTAGTTGTTCCAACTCAGTGCAAGGCTGACTTGAGCTTGACCATAATATACAAGAAAAAAATAGTCCTTAGTAGAAACCCAAGTTTTGCATGCTTCTTTAATAGTTTACATGTGAACACACACACCCACCTACAATTGTTGTTGCACTTGATTGCATCAGAATCATCATCCACTTTCCCTATTCCCTGATGGCAGTGGCAGAGATTGCTATGAATCAAAAAGTTTGACATGGCCATTCATGTGAATTTGATTTTAGTGGACAACCATGTATAATGGAGAAGCTCACACATTTGGCTAGAAATGTCTCCCACGAGGTTTAAAGAGGATCGAGACAGGTGAGATCTGGCAAACATGGTTACATTGGGCTGTCAAGGACCATATTGGTAACATCAACCTGACTGGTGCTGCTGCCTTCCACCTGTTTGGTCATTGTCAAGCCCTCTAACATAACAAGAGAATGACTATATATATTTTACTACAATACACTAACAATCAACCTGGTAATTCCATAAATTCACAAAAACTAAATTTATTCAATTACAATGCTGAGGATACTGTGAACTGAACATAAGCCATGACAAAAGCTTGGAGAAAATGGAAAAAGAAAGGAAACTAATACTTAACATCAGGAAGAGATGACTGAGGTTTCTGGGATACATAATGAGAAAGGAGGGTTTGGAAAATTTGATACTCATGGGACAGAGGAAAACAACATATAACATACTTAGTGAGCTTGAGATTAACATATTTGCAGGTGCTATTTTTTAAAAATACTGTTCAAAGACTTGAAGATGCTGATACACAATGACAGCATTTTTGTTTTAACCTGAAAATTATGAAGTTATTCAATAAAAATATTTTAGAACAAGTTAATTTATTTTACTGAAAAATTCAAGATTTTATAATGAAGATGTAACAAAATACTATGGAAAATGTGAATTACTACAGAAACAAAACATTTTTTGTAGGAATAAAATGTTTATTATGGATTTGATTTTATCCTTTTTTCAAAGGTTGCTTTTCTTTATTTAAAAAATTAAAACAAACTCAATGTTTAAAATCAAAATAGTTTCATTTCAAATGTAAGAACACTATCAGAAATTTCTCTTGGGATCACAGGTTTTTAAACTTCTCAATAATTACTGTTATTCTTTCTAAGTCTAAAACCAGAAAATTTCGTTAGAACCAAAGAAAAGAGCATGGAACTGGTATGTCATATCAATCCTCCTATATGGTAGTGAATGCTGGGCAGTTTCCTTGCAGATGAAGAAAAGACTTGAGACAAAAAGAGATGTGGCTCTACAGAAGGATGTTGAGAATATCAGACAAATTGTGATTAATGAGAAAATTCGAAACAAAGAGGACACTTACAATCAGAAAGAGAGATTTGAAACTTTTGGGATAAAGAAAAAGAGCTTGGAGAATTTGATACTCACAAGATATACTGAAGGCAAGAGTTAGAAGGAAACAGTGAGTAACCTAACTGATCTTGTGTAAATGGGTGGCAAGAACTATGAAGGAGAAGAAGTTGTGGAGAGCCATGATCGTCCTTGTCCTGAGGGATATTGTACAATAAAAGTGGAGTCCCGTCAGTGTCAATGTCGAGTTTTCTTTAATCACCTTTTGAAATTCAATTTGAACTCTTATGTACTGCATATTGTTTGGCCTCAAATAAACAAATGTAAAAATAAAAAATGCAAATGAATATTTTCGGGTGGCATACAACAGTTAACGGCGCGAAATATGTAACTGGTGTGCAGAGTCCAAATTTCGAGGAAGGCTGTTGCGTTCACTTTGAACGAGTGACCTTGGGAAAGGTATGAATACATTTCAATTCAACCCCGCTATTAAAATAGTAGGGGCAAACTGGGCACCAGCCTTGGTAGGGCAACTAGTCTTCTTCTTGCAGAAGAATTTTAATTTCAAAGCCGTAGCGAAGGCAACGGGTAAGATGAGCACAGCAGTCATGGTGATTCGCAATAAAACTAAAAGAAACGGAAGATGTGGAGATCCATTTATTGTCTACGTCTTGAGGGTTGATTGAAAATAAAATATGAATAAAATTTTATTTTTTTAAAGAAAATTCAATGCATCATTTCATCATTCAGTAAAATATCGGTTTTTTTTTTGAAGGTAAAAAAAAAAGAAAGAGATATCAATGAAATTTTTCTTAAGAGTAAATAAAACCAAGAATTATCGTTTTTTTTTTATACACAAGAAAAAGAAAAAAAATATCCATTTCCACTTTGTTTTTTAGTTTCGAAGTGACATTTATTTGTGGTCATTTTTAGACAAAGTTCAAAGTAATAATAATTAATAACAACAATGAACGCTTTTTTGCGATACAAAACCAAAAATGACATTTTTTTTAAGTTAACCATTTTTTTTTATAATAATTTTGAACACATGAAATAATAATTATTTAAATTAAATTACTGGTACTTTATCTGTCAATAAAAAAATATTGATACAATTAATTATTGTAATTATTTCAATATTAGATTTTTTGTCATATTCGATTTAAAAACAACACTTTAAGAACTAATTAAAAAAAAAAAGTATTGTTTTTCTGGGTTTTGTGTGCTTTGTATAGAAACTGGGATTTTTTTTCTTCTTGTATTAACAAAAAAAAAAAAAAAAAAGAACCTAAAAAAAGTAATTAAAAACCCAAAAGAAAAAATAGAAACAAAAAACCAAAAACAACCTTTAAACCAGCAATCTGCAATTTATGTCAAACTCAAATTTGAATGTCTCATTAACTGAGACAGCCAAATTAAATAAGCTACATTTTAAAATATCAAATTCATTCATTATTCTAAGAATAATGAATGAATTTGATATTTTTAAATGTAGCTTAAAAATAATTAGTTTAAAAAAAAAAAAAAAAAAAAAAAATTAGAGTTTGAAAAAAAATATTAGAAAAATTTCTAAAAATCCCCAAAATTAAAAATTATTGCTTTTTATTTTAGTCACACAAATATTCATTATATTTTAAAATTTCGATTAATTTTATAACTGAAATACAGTCCACTTTGAAATTTTAACTATTATCAGTGAGATAAAGAAATATAAACAATTTTTAAAACTAAATGTTTTTCTTTGGATATTTAGACATTGTTTAACGGATGTTATTTTTAGTTTACAATACGTGATAGATTTTTTTTCATTCAAAAGAGCTGACCTTTGCAACGATATATAAACGAATTATAAAAAGTTTTATTTTTCTGCTGGTGTTGTTATGTAATTATGTTCTTTTAGACTAATAATAAAGCAAACTACCAATTAAAAAACAAAAAAAAACCCCAAAAAAAACAGACAGTTAAAAGAAACGAAGGGAATAAAAACGAATGCTGCAGGTGCCTAGAATCGATCCTTCACCCCAAGGAATCAGAATGGGAAGCACATTTAAAGAAAATCATTACCAATGACAAAGCAGCAAATCGGCGGTCGTTAGGTGCACAAATTTAGCTGTATTGCAACTAACTTTATCTTCCTAATATTTTTTCTTAGTTGTTAGCAAAAGAAAAAGAAAATAAAACAAGCCGGCAAAAGATTAAAATGAGGTAAAAACGTCATTTAATTTAATTTAAAAATCGGATTTTTTAAATTTTGATTGTTTTTCTTTCAAGGTAAAGAGAGTATGAAACGTGAGTATTTTTTTTAATTAAAAGAATGTAAATTATTTTTGTGTGTGGATTGATTAGTTAACTACTGTGTAGTGTAATGACGTTTTGTTTAAAATTTATCAATATATTTTAAAATTTATTATATTAAAATTCAAGCCTTGTTAAAAAAAATATATACCAAATCAGTTTTTGCTGCAAAACGCCTCGACAGTTCAGCACCCCCAGCTAAATTAAATCAAGACTCAAGAGAGAGATTGACCTTAGAGTTTTGTGGGGTTCGTTAACAATGTCATGTTTTTGCTCAATGAAATAGAAATTGTTTAGAGAAACGATCTCCTTACCTGTCCATTTCTTTTTGATTGTAGATTCCGACCAGCAAATATCCACAAGCAGAAAACAAGAGAAGTAACACGACAATCCCTCCTGTAAGGATCCACACTGGAGTCTTCTTCCAAAGGATAAACATTGTTTCTTTTTTTAAAGGTTTCATTTCGGCAAAAGATCCTTTATACACAAATAATCCAGTAGTTATTTTTGAACTTGTAGTTTTAAATAAAGGACAAATGAGAGATTTTTTTAAACCTCAACTTTCTGTTAATTTAATTCTGAGTGTGACTTTGTGATTATTTCATCGTAAGAGTTTGAAAGTCAAAGAATGTTAGAAATCCCATGTTTACTGTTTTGCGGGTTAATTTCCTTTTTGTTTTCCCATAAACATTTGGCTTGGATGATGATGATGATGATAATAATAATAATAATGACATGATGTTGAGAATGAAGAAATTGACGGTTTCGCCCTGAATGTCATTCCTTTTTCTGGAAAAGCAAGAGGACACATTTTTTTCTTTTTATAATGAAAGAAAAGCAGAAATAGTAATAATAAGAATAATAAGATAGATGGAAGGAAGCAATTTTTGGAAGGACGAATAGAAAAAAAAGTGACAAGTGATGAATGAATAGAGATGAAGGGATTTTTGACGAAGAAGAAAATGAAAACAGCTAATAATGTGAATTAGGGGAGTAAAAGAAAATCATGTTTTTCTTTTTTTGCATGAACCGAAATAAATAGAGAAAGAGGTTATGTTTATTTAACAATTCCAACACTTTCTTTTAATTAACCATGTCAGGAAATAGCGGACATGGTTCATTATTAAAAAATTGAAAAAAAGAAAAGTGAGATATGTTGATGATAGTTTAAACAATTTTTTTTTTTTTTTAGAATTTGGGTTATTTGAAATTAAAACCATAAATATTACAAATTAACTGAATTAACATTTTTACAAAGATTTATTTTCAATAATTTTTTTTTTCCTTGGAGACAAAATTAAAATTAAAAGCAGGTCGACTGGAGGGCAATCAGCAGACAGAGTTTATTTATTTTGACATTCTGCAGATATTTCAAAATATATAAATTAAATACAACTAATATTAAACAACAATAAATACATTTTAAACAAATGCGTCGATTAGAGAACTTCCTGTAAAAACAAAATAAAACAGAAAGATTGTGCTTAAAAAGGAAAAGTGAAACTACATTTTTTTTTTTTTACGTCTTTTTTTTTTTTTTTTGTACTTTTTAAAGAGGATTGAAACCTGCTTTTTAAAATAATATTTTTTTCGTTAAAATAAAAACAAAATGATTACCTTCTCGGTGAAGCATTTTTTTTTTTTTTTTAGAAATTATTCAGAAAATTGAGAAGTTGTTTCTTTAAGTAGAAATGCTTGTAACAATTTCCTTTTTGTTGATTAACTCAACGACATCAAAATACCGTAAAGTTCAATTTCAAATTGCTTCTTTTTTTTTTTTAATCCTTTGGTCTTATGTTTCTTTTTAAATATTACGGTCGAGTCCCAGGACGTGGGTTATTCGTAAAACTGCTGATGATGATGGTAAGTGCCAAAGAAAGGAAGAAGAATTGAGGAAAATATGCGGCTTTTTTTCTTTTTACTGAATAATAATCATGATGAACGAAGGCAAAAATCTTTGTGTTTCTGTAGCATGTAAAAATGTGGTGGAAATCTGACGCATTGTTTTGTGCAAAAAGCTAAGGACGAAGCGCCTAAAAACAAATCAAAACTACTGTGAAATGTTAAAGAGAGTCAAGTTGATGCCGGCCTGTCCTTCTCACTGCCTTAGCAGCGAATGATTTGAAGAAGGGGGAGAAGGAGGAGGAAGAGATAGATTACTGATTGGGGCGGGCGTCTCCATTGGTTCTTTCTCCGGGGTGTGTATTCATCTACATGTGTGTGACCATACATACACACACACAGTCATACGTGCCTGGATGTGTTGATGCGCACGCGCGACCATAAGTTGGCACGAACGCACGTGTGTGTGTGTGTGCGTGTGTGTGTGTGTGTATATGCATATGCATGTGTGCGTGCGTGATTATAAGTATGTGTATCATGTGTGTATGATTTTGTGATTGTCAATCATGCGTTTGTGCAAATTATCACGATTCCACTTTGTCATTAAGTTCCCTAACATACAAATATACATAATTAAGAAAAGACAAGAGGAATTTTTTTATGCCAAAGTGTTTCGTTCCTTTAAGAACTTTACTTTATTAAGGCAAGGTGTGTGAATGAGACTAAAAACTAAAAAGCCTACGTTGTTTGTGCATACTGCATTACAAGTTGTGTGTTCGAGCAAGTGCAGGATTAAAAAATTATAAAGCGAGAGAGAGAGAGGGGAGTAGAGAGAGACTATATAATTTTAAAAATCCTACACATGTTTTTGTGTTTGTGAAGTGCGATTGGGTAAGTTAAGTATAATTTTCCCTTCCTCTTACGTTCATATCACACCTGATTCAATAACTCTCTCCCTTGAGTGGCTCTTGAGCCTTGTATTGAGTGAAGGTTAGTAAAAAAAAAAAAGAAAATAGAATCAGCCAATTTCGGATATATACATGTTATTGTCTGTGTATGTGTAGGGTGTGTGTGACAGTGTGTGTATGTGTGACATGAAGCTTGTGAGTATAAGAGTTTTTTTTTTAAATCTGTGAGTGTGGCACAAAAAAACAGTGTGATGGTTTTTGCAGAGTGTGTAACCATGCCAGTATGGTAATGCATAGTGTGTAGGAGAGAGAGAGAGAGAGAGAGAGAGAGAGAGAGAGAGAGAGAGAGAGAGAGAGAGAACAACAGAGAATTTGATAATATAAGTCAATGTGTGAATGAGAGGAAGTGAGGGAGTGTGAGTTGGCGAATGTATGATTTTGAGCTTCTGTGTGTATATCAAAGTTTAGCTTAGACCGGCACAAAGAAGAAATGTGTGAAAAGTAGATTTTAGAGGCCTAACTTATATAATGAATATTCAAAATTTTGGTCATTAACTGGGCTTGAACACCAACAAATGATGTGGGTGGAAAATATACAACAATTTCTTTTATCACAGTAGTGATGTCTATGTGGACACACACACACACACACACACACACACACACACACACACACACACAAGGTATATTTGGTCTCTTTGATGGTTTGCAAGCTTGTTTCATTAGATCAATTACAACTGAGTAATGAATTCAATCTTCACTGGGCACTCCATAATTATGGCCTTCTGCCACATCTAAGCTGCACTTACTAAATTACTATATAAGGTATATTTAGGTAGAAAGAATTCATTTAAACTTGTTATATATATATATTAGTCCTTTTACCCTAAGCAAGGTGGTAATGTCACTAAAATGCAGGGGGTTACTGGGAGTGAAAGAAAATGAGAAGACTTTAGTGAGGAGAAAGGACAATAAAAGAACAGGTTACAGGAAGACAGAATATAGTGATAATGCCACTAAGATGCAAGAATTTACCAAGTGTGAAAGAGAAGACTTTAGTGAGGAGAAAGGACAATAAAAGAACAGGTTTCAGGAAGACAGAATATGGTAATGCCATAAGATGCAAGAATGCCAGGTAAAGATAATGAGAAGACTTTAAGGAGAAAGGACAATTTAACAGTTTTCAGGAAGACAGAAGATGTGAAATGCCACTAAGATGCAAGAATTTACCAGGTGAAAGAGAATGAAAGACTTTAGTGAAGAGAAAGGACAATAAAAGAACAGGTTTCAGGAAGACAGAAGATGGCGATAATGCCACTAAGATGCAAGAATTTACCAGGTGTGAAAGATAATGAGAAGACTTTAGTGAAGAGAAAGGACAATAAAAGAACAGGTTTCAAGAAGACAGAAGATGGTGATAATGCCACTAAGATGCAAGAATTTACCAGGTGTGAAAGAGAATGAGAAGACAATAAAAGAACAGGTTTCAAGAAGACAGAAGATGGTGATAATGCCACTAAGATGCAAGAATTTACCAGGTGTGAAAGAGAATGAGAAGACTTTAGTGAGGAGAAAGGACAATAAAAGAACAGTTTTCAGGAAGACAGAAGATGGCGATAATGCCACTAAGATACAAAAGGTTACTGAGAGTGAAAGAGAATGAGAAGACTTTAGTGAGGAGAAAGGACAATAAAAGAACAGGTTTCAGGAAGACAGAATATGGTGATAATGCCACTAAGATGCAAGAATTTACCAAGTGTGAAAGAGAAGACTTTAGTGAGGAGAAAGGACAATAAAAGAACAGTTTTCAGGAAGACAGAAGATGGCGATAATGCCACTAAGATGCAAGAATTTACCAGGTGTGAAGGAGAATGAGAAGACTTTAGTGGGGAGAAAGGACAGTAAAAGAACAGGTTACAGGAAGACAGATGATGCCATTTGGTGTTTCATTTAAATTTTGGAAGACTGTAGGAGGCAGGGAAGCAAAAAATTGGAAGAGAGTTCCACAGGGGTGAAGTGCAAGAATAGAAACTATTAGAATAGAACATACAGTTGAATCTAATTAGTTTAACAGTAAAACTTAATTGCCAATCTAGTAGTGCATTTAAATTTATGCAGTTGAGGCACCAAGGAGGAAAATTCATTAGAAAAATTGCCATGGAAATATCTGTATAAAAGACAGGGAATCCATGTCATGTTGGTGAGAAAGTGAATGAAATTGAGATGCCAGATCAGAACTAATAACATTACTGCCCCTTCTTTGGATTTTGTCTAGAATCTCAAGATATATAGTTGGAACACCACACTAGATATGGCAGCAATATTTAATGCATGGATGAATGATTGGTTGATTTTGTTTAGTGGTATATCAGACTCATGGGTTATTTAATTCTGAAATATAAATATTTTGTATGTAATTTTATGCTTTCAACTACAGATATTGTATATAATTTTATACTTTCAATGTTACGGTATGTTGTTTTTAGATATATAGTTTGTAGATCAGAAGATATTGTTGGTAATTTTACTACAAAAATGTATTTTTATATTTTTTTTAGTGTTGCATTGATTGTTATTTTTCTATAAAAATGTATTGTTGGTCATTTTATTATAAAAAAAAATATAGTGTATTGTGGGTTTACTATTTGCCCATAAATGGGAGCCTAACAGGTGCTAAAACACCAAGTGAGGGTGAACCTGGGAACAACGAGAGGTGGTTTCATGCTCCTCAAAACCTTCACTCTCTCGATCAGAGGCCTTGCTGCTAGATGTAGTTTATCGTCTGGATGAATGGTAGCTTTATAAACATGTAAGATGGATTCTAATGAAAAAAAATTGTCTCGCATGACACAGGAAACCAAGCAGTAGACCTAACAATTGATTCATGTCAGCGTAAAACATGAACCCAAGGAGGGACAAAGATTTGATCTCCTGGAGGTTAGCATCAACCATGCTGACAGTAAGTTTCTCTCTGGTGATTAAATGAAAGTAGTTTTATTTTGAAGGTGTTAAAATTTACAAGCCATTGCTTGCTCCAGTTAACCACTGACTGGTTGTTCTTTTTTGAGATTAGCTGCCATTTTAACCTTATTGGACATGTCAGACCTACTGCTCAGACAGGAGTAAATAGTTGTGTACGCATGTATGACTAGCTTCTTATTTTCAAGTACATATGTCTATTAGAGTGGCTAGCTAATCACTGTTGTAGACACATGCTCAGGCACATTTGTATTTCTTCAACAGCCACAGGGCAAACCTGTGGATTATACTGCAACTATGCTGAACAGAACAGTAGTGACAGTTTCTAGGAGAGAATGCATAATCTGGCATGATCAGTAGTTGAACAAAGAGGGTATATGCAAGAACACAGTTGAAAGTCATCATAACCAAGGTTTACACAATAATTGATGGCTTCCAAACAGTTTCATCCACCTGATTTCACTGAACCTGTGGTATGGCATTCATAAAGAGAGAGAGAGGGGGCTATGCTGATGACATAGGTATTCATGGTTAGGATAAGAATGATGTTGAACAGAAAATCAACATCTCCAAGTGTTCCAAGAAATAGGACTGAACATAAACCTTTCCAAAAATAGAAACTATGTATTGGAATTGAAATAGAAATGAAGGCAGTGATTATGCATACCCTAAAAAAATTCAGGATGTGGAATTAGTAAATACTAAACACTTCGAACAAGTTGGTGTATAGATCAATTATAACAAATTTAATATAGGAAATAAGGAATTTGAACAGAGAGTAGGTTGGGCTAGATGTCATTTTGTCCAACACTGCAAATTGCTATAAAACCAAAACATTAACCTGAACACTCAAGTCATATTCTTAAACAGCCCCAATTCAGAAATATTTAAACTGTCAGTTGTA